ATCGTACATAAATACACATACGTTTCAGTAAAATATATACTCATAAGAAATATATATATATATATATATATATATATATATATATATATATATATATATATGTTATGGAAGGATAGAAATAGCCTCCAAAATAAACTAGTTGGGTGAAATAAGTCTTGACTGCTTGTTGTTCCTCTAAATAAAAGTGGACATTAGAAGCACAGCAGCAGTTGGAGGTCCACGGTGGGAATGGATCTCGTACAATGAAAAGCATGACAGCTCCCCTGAACTGCAGCTCAGGCAGGACACGCGGGGGTAGTCACAGAGCCTCATTTTACTTGGAAGCTCCTGCAAGGTTGGAATATGCTCCCGTAGTTTGCTGAGCGACTTCCGCTGCTGCAGAGTGTTGTGTGCTGAGGCGACAGGTGTGTGCTGCATCCTCCTGGACGAGTTCAGCGCGGGGTAATGAGCTGCCCGTCATGTGGGGACCTGCCCGTGACTTTCCTCCCATGGCAAGCAGTTCCTCTGGTGCCATCATGGAGGCAGACAGCCAGGAGCGCTGGTGCCTCAGTTTCTTCTGGCCACGCTGAATTCCTAGACACCCATTACGTTTGCCCTGGGTCCCAAATCCTCCGCAGAATGAGCTAATGGGGCCATGTGGGTGGTATTATTATTATTATTATTATTATTATTATTATTAATTTATTTTTCCCCGTAAGAAGCAATTGAAGTCTGAGACAAATGTGCGTTTCTCCAGACCCCATGTTAGCCTGTCTCTCTAATTTCACTGGTGTTCGTGCGTGACTTTGCTGTGGTGGACTTTTCTTTTCACTGGCTCTCATTTGCTGAAGTTAGCGCTTGAGGACAAGTTGGAATGATACTTAGTTTCTAGGGGTCTTTATGCTTTTTATGGGCCAGACTGCTCAACAGTCATAGACTTAGTAAAACAATTGGCAGGAAAAATTAGGATTTCTCAGGGAGATTAATGACCATTATGGTTTTTCTTTGGATTGTTCCACACTCTGTCTCTGGCCTTAATGAAAACCAAGTGAAAACACTGAGCCAAAGTCTAGAATCAGTGTTGGCGCCTTTGCACTGTGGCCAAAAATATTCTGATGCAGATTTGAGTCTCTGGTTCTTCCAGTGATTGATTAATTAGTTCATTCATTCATTTAATGAACCCATGTACGGTATCCAAACATAGGGGTTCAATGAGAAATAAAACTCTTAATTACCCCGGAGCAGCTTGTGGCACAGGAGGGGTGACAGACGTGTAAGCGCACAGCCACCCAAAGTGTAACCAGAGCACAGAAAACGGGGCAGTGGCTCAAATGGGGTGACCAGCTTTGCTTGGATAGGGGAGATGCTGTCGCAGAAAGAGGTTTTTGCAGGAACAATGGGATTTCCTGTGTTGATTGAGCAGGAAAGTGGATTTCAAAGAGAGAAAAGTATCTGAAAATGCATAAAAGCAGGAAGCGCCTGTTGGCTCATGCATGGGTCATGGCTCACAGTGGCTGGTGTGAGGGGTGAGGGGTCAGAGAACAGGTGGAGTGGACCAGGGGAGATGGATCCAGAGAAGGACGAAAGAACGAGGCATGGCCAGCACTGGACACTGGGGAAGGTGGGGGTTTGCAAACACAGAAGCTTAGGGAAACAGAGGGTGACTTCACGGGCTTTGGAAGAAGACTGGATTCTGGGGCCTTCTAGCTAACTTGCTCATAGGAGGTGGGGCCTGGTCAGGAGAGGTTGGTCACTGGGGGTGTGGCCTAGAAGGGTGTATCTCCCAATCCGGGTCTTCTCTTCTCTCTCTCCTTCCTGTTCACCATGCCCCAAGCAGCTCTCCTCTTCCGAGCCCCTCTGCCGTGCCACCATGGTTTGGAGCCAGCTGACTATGGACTGAAAGCTCTACCAACTGCGCCAACATAAACCTTTGCTCTTTCGAGTTGTGGGTGTCAAGATTGTGTCCCAGTGACGAGAAAGTGACTAAGACAGCAAGCTTGAGGGTTAAGGAGGGAAGTCACATATGAGGCCGAGGAGAAGCAAGATTAGCAAAGTCAAAAGAGTTACCCTTTGGGAACAGAGGAGGGAAGCCCATGGCTGCCGAGAACAGAGCTGCATTAGAGCTGAGTCTTGTGTGAGTGACAGTGGAGGAGGGTACATGTGGGGTGAGCAGAGAGCGACGGAGAGGGGCTGACTACAGCTGGAGATGGGTCGGGTATAGGGGCAAGAGCATGAAGGGATAGGAGGGAAATGGTGCCCCTGATAACGCAACTGTGCCATGACCTGAGTGTCTCTTCTTTGGAACTAAAAAGTTACAGTTGCATGTTCATTTTGATTTGCATTTTCATAAGAGATTCATTTATTGTTGGTACACAGGTGACATAACAAAATACTCTAATTCGTTCTCTAAGATGAAAGCAAAATGAATGGTAGTAACACAGGATGACAGAAGCAGAGTCGTTGCATTTACGGAGGAGAATAACAAGGTGGAGACAGGTTTGGCAGGAAGGTAAAGTGTTCATTTGTTGAGCTGGAGGCTCAGGAGATAGGAAAGGACAATGTCTGGTTGGTAGTTTTGAGTCTGAGAAGGGCGGGGAGAAAGAGGAAAAGAGAGATACTGCGCATCTATGGGGTGATGATTGCACTCTATGAGGCGAGATACAACTGATCTCATATATGAAGGGTGATAAACAGTCTAAAAATTTTAAAAATGTATTATAGTAAAGGATGCATGGCCATTGTCCCCCCAATCCTTCCCCCATTTTAGACACCCTTATCCCCACGTTCTTGACAATTTCCGAAGCAGTTTCTGGAAGTGCCCTTTCCTGAGTGCCTTTTCCTGGCTGCCTTGATGTCCTGACTTTTGTGGCAATTTTTGTCCAATTAAAGCATCACAGTGTGTCCTCATCCACCTTATTCACTAGATTTGGCACCATGTGGCTTCTGGTTCTTCCACCAAGTCAAAATGACCATGAGAGGTCCACGTTTTGAATCAATTCAGGACATCGAGGCAGTCAAGACAGTACAACTAAAGACGCTCAGGAAGGAGGACTCCAGAGCTGCTGCAGGACGTGCCGAGAATAATGACGGGAGAAGTGTGTTTGAAGTGCGGGAGAGGTCTCTGAGGCGGATTCATGGCAATGTGTCTTTATGTAATACAGCTTTTAATTTAAACACTCATTTTTAATCACACTTTGTAGAGATCATCAAAACTATACTGATGCTTAATACAGAAAATCCTATGTAAAACGAGGCTGAGATAAAAACGTAGGGGGTCAAAGCATGCATGTGAGAATTGGAACTTCAAAGAGTACGGTTCGGGCAGCTTTTGCAGTGCTAATACTAATCACTTGGATCTCTTAAAAATTTAGTTCTTTGCCATCAGTAGCTAATAATATTTGACTTTCCCATTAGATTTTATGTTCTTGGCAAATCTTTATTTTTTCCAGTGCCTAAAGCAGTGCCACACTTTTCTACTAATTATGAATGTCTGCGAGGAGTCAATATTGGCTTTGGAATTTTTAAAAAATATTCACATATTAAAACTTGCTAATCTTATAGAAATCGTTTTCTTACATTTGTCCATAAATGGGTAATTATCAATGGAAGGTGTTTTCTGATGGAAAAAAGTCTAATGCATTTGAGCATAGTCTATTTTTAATCTATAGACTTAGTTTTTTCTTTTGCTTGAAATATACAATTAGAGAAAATTTATTTAAAACTTTTGAAATTTTGTTTTAATTATAATTTAAAATTTATTTTAGTCATTTCAGTTATGAAATAATATATATTGATTCCAGCAACTTCACCAGATGTATTTGGTATAAAACAAAATAATCTCTTTCCAGAGTACTGTAAACAATGGTGGCATATTCTTTTATCTTTTTATATTAAATTGGATATTGACATGTCCAAATACTTAATTTTGGTTTTTGTTTATTTTGTAAAGTACATCATTCTGTATATGGCTTTCTAAAATCTACTAATTTTCACTTACCAATTTTATCACAGGTTCCTTGCAAGTCTTGGGATTTGCCTTTGTCCTGATTGCTCGGATAGCATTCCAGGAGTATGCATCATGATTTACACAGGGAAACACTCCTCTTCAGGTTGTTCTTGGCTTGGGTAATTATCAAACAAACTCACAATTACTTCACAAACCAGTTCTTTTATTTTTTGTAGGATGGAATGAGTAAATGAATATGAAAAAGACAAGCAATTTAACATATGTATAGATAAAAAGATATGGTAGGATTAGTTACAGAAAAGGAAATGCAAATGATCAATACATTTCAGAACACATTAATGCCATTAATATTCAGAAAAATGTAAACTGATACAAAAAATATTTAAAAACAAAAATAACTAAAACCTCCAAATGCCAATTTTCACCCATTGTATTGACAAAAATTAACAATATTTATAACATCCCATAATGGTAGAAGTGTGATGAAATGATGATCTTAACCATCATTGGCAGGCCTATAAATTAAATTTTTGAGAAAGAATTTGTTGGTATATATTAAAATTAGACATGTATAAAACCTTTGACTTACTAATGCTCCTGGAAATTAAAGTGGGTCATTTTTTGCAAATACCTAAAAATATTTAGGAAGTGAATGATGCAATGAATGTGTTCCCAATTATTTTTATTGATAAAAGGCAAAGTAAATATAAGTAGCAATTGGGAAGGGAAGCCACGAACATTTGTCTCAATATATTAATATCTATCCTACTCTGCATATATGGCATTTTCACATAATGTTTAATGACTCCTTTTGAAAGAAAGAAGTTGACAGGTTCTGGTGTTTCCAAATCTGTTATGGCTTAGATCTAGATGTCCCACGAAAGCCTTGAGCAGTTACAGGCAGGACCTTTGGAGGGTGATTGGATTGTGGGCTGATAGCTGACTTGCTGTTAGGAGGTGGGGCCAAGTTGAAAGAGGTGGTCACTGTGGTGTGACCCGGAAGCTTATATCTCCCTTCCTGCTCCTCCCTTGACCCTCTGCTTCCTGTCTGCCATGCCTCTGGGTTGTGCTGCCCTGCCTCAGAGCCAGCTGACTATGGACTGAAGCCTTTAGAAATCGTGACCCAAAGTAAACCTGTCCTCCTTTAAGTTGTGAGTGTTGGGTATTGCGTCTCAGTGACAGAATGTGACTAAGACAAAATCTATTCAAAATGGATGCACAGAGGGCACAAACAATGTGTACACTCACCGGTCAAGTCTTCTTCCACGTGAGTCATGCCCCGCTGCTCATGAGGATGCCGGTGTGGGTCCCCTGATGTGGGTGGGAAGGAAGGGCTGGTCCTCCGTGTCAGCCTGTGGCTCAGCACTGCCGTGACACCTAGGTGAAACGTGATTTTGATTGTGGCACAGGACATGTTTGGTATCAGGGAAGGCAGTCAGAGTGGGGTGGCTCAGTGCACTGGGGATTTGTGGGGTGCACGGGAGCATGTGCTGTGTGGACTGAGCAGTGCGTGGGCTCTGAGCTGCAGGGCACAGGGCGGAGGGGCGCTGAAGATAGGTAAGTGGGGGCGGGGTCTGGCAGGTGCTGGACTCATGTAGGGCTGTGGAAGTGAGCGCTGGTGCAGCTGTCCAGACAGGAGATCTAAGCAGTCGGGTGGTGATCTTTGGAGGGTCCTTTCAGGTCTCTGCTTCAGATCAGGAAACTGGCTCCTGGGGACTTGGACATCACAAATTCAATCTGAGACATCGTATGAATTTTTTAGGGCTATGGTAAAAGACACGACAAAGTGGGTGGCTTAAAACAAGCCCATCTATTGCGCTACAGTTCTGGAGGCCAGAAGTCTGAAATCAGAGCTGCTACAGGGCCATCTTCCTTCTCCTGGCTGCTGACAGAGCCCATAACGTTCTCAGCAGGCAGAGGCTCCGTCTCATTGGCCCCATGGTCATGAGACACCTTCTCCCGATCAGCCGTGTCTCCACGCGCTGCACACTCGCTGTGGTTCTTTTAAGGGCACTGCCACTGGGCTGAGTCTACCCTAGTCTCATAGGATCTCCTCTCATCTCACATTCAAATTGTATCTACAGAGTCTCTGTTTTCAGATAATGACATTCACAGGCAGCCAAGGCCAGGACCGAAACCTGAATTTGTGCAGGGCACCATTCAGCCCCTAACCCTGCATGGAGCATGAGTTCAGCAGTGTTGCTCACCTGCCCTGGTCGGGGGTGGCCAGGGCAGTGGAGAGCGATTTCCAATAGCCACATTTCTTTGAAAGGAGGGCCCTAGGGGAGGCTATTGATCTCTAGGCACAATGCAGAGAACTGAGTGTAGACAAGTGAAGTGGCATTGTCATCCACAGCTGGCAGTGTGTACATTTTATTCAAGAAGTGCAGAAACTTCAATAGAAATGAACTGGAAAGGACTCAGTTTGTATAGACTGTGTTTTCAGCAAGTACACAAGCACAGACTAAGAACCGAGCCTGCACGCAGAAGCTGACATCCTGACACATGGCATTGCCCCCAGCAGTGTGAGTCAGCCAAGGGGCACGGAAGCAAAGCCACCCACACAGGGCAGGGAGGGCACCAGGTCCTCAGTGAGGAGAACAGACACACTGTCGTAGGAGCCCTAGGCAGCACGGCCAGAAAATCAATCTATCTCTGCTTCTGTATCTGCACCTGCATCCACAGCTGTATCTGCACCTGTGTCTGGACCTACAGACTGTGTCTGCCTTTGTATCTACCACCACAGCTGCATCTGGAGGTGAACCTGCACCTAAATCTGCCCTGATAGCTCCTGAGTTCTAGATTTTGCATTTCTTAACCAAAACTTTTTTAGCTTCTTCAAATACCACGTAACATTGTTTGGAATGTTTATACTTGGTGTGTTAGTTACCTTTCTCAAGGCTGAGACAAAATACCTGACACCCACAAATTAAAGGAGGAAAGGTTTATTTTGGCTCAGAATCTATAGAGGTCTCAGTTCACAGTTCCTGGGCAGGGCAGCATGGCAGAGGAGCAGCAGCATCAAGCCTGCCTTTTTTCTGTCTCTTTGTGTTCCATCCAGGATACAAGTCTATTGATTGGTTACCCTCATACCCAGGGTGGGGCTTCTGTTACCCACATCCTTAATCTCAGCATCACGCCCTTAATCCACATTCACACACCCCACTCCAGCCACCTTTGAAACTCCCCATCTATGAGCGCATGAGGCTTTTTGGGGGACATCTGGATACAAGCCATAACACTTGTTAACTGGACTCAGGGATATCCTACCTAACATTTTAATGTGATTCGTTAAAACATATTTTTACTAGAATATGTTTATGTTGCATAATTACGTTCATCTTGGGGATTTGATGCATCTTCATGACACATCTCGGTCATTTTTACTCCGTTTCCTCCCTTCTGTACTCTCTCATTTCTTCCCCAGATTCTCTTCCCATCTCCACAGAGTCTAAATCTCTTTGCTACCTTCTCTCTTTTATGTTTTCTTTAAATTACTTACATTTTGCATCTCTCATGGTAGAGGAACCATGAAATCAATACTTTACCTTCGGTGCCTGATTTACTTCACTTAGCACATGGGAGGCATCCCTTTTCCTACAAATGAGCCGACTTATCTTTCTTTATGGGTGAGTAGTGCTCTGTTTGTATAAATACCACGTGGTAAGAGTGTGACTCTCGAGCTCCAAACATAAAGCTTACGAGCAGATTTCTTCCCCAGCTGCCTTTGTTTCATGCTGTGTTAACAAGATGTCTTCTCCTCAGGTGTAATATCTGTCTCACAACATCAGTGATTTAATTCTGGAAGAAACAGGAGGAAAGGCAGAAGGACTTGCTAGAAGACACACGAAAGCAGTTTCTTGAATATGGACCCAAGGTCAGGTCAATACCAAAAGCAAAAGTTGACTGAAGAATTGTAATAAGACCAGAAATGCCAATAGCAATCACAACCAGTCTTATTTTGTTAGGAATTGTGGAGGGCCCTTGTATGCTATTTATGTTACTTGAGAAATCACTGCAACCATGGTATTCTCGGTCCTACACTTCAGGACAAAAAAATGGAGGCCCCGTATTGTGCTCAAGTCTGCACAGCTTGTTAAAAAAGAACCTGGAAATCAAGCCAGGTTGACCCTACTCCAGAATTCAGGACTTTATGACCCACTGTGTCATAGTCCTAGCACTGGGGAGAGCAGCCTGGGGGAGAGGGGTAAGCGGTCCTAGATAGAAGGGGAAGGAGTGGGAACTGGAAGCCAAGGAGGCCACAGTGATTGGAGGCTGCCAGTTTCGCCGAGCCCAGGGAGCCTATTGTCAGTAGCTGGCCACAGACATGTCCACAGCTCCAGAGTACTCTGGAGAACCTGGATGAGGGCAGTGTTCCCGTGCTCAGAAGAGAAGAGCGCCTACAACAGTATAGGAGAGGAGACTTACAAAGGTTCACTCGTTTGATCTTCCAAACAGATCTATCAGTAAGGCCTTCTGTGACCTCTATTGTGTCTGTCTGCAGACAATGGGAGGTGGACCTACACTTTTGTTCCAGGGTCTTGGTCCTGATCATAACCAGGGTGCTCTTGGAAATCACCCAGGGCTTCTTGGACCTTTGCTTTCTCAACCCTCTTTTGTAAATGCTCATGGGTGCCTTGTCTCCTAGCTTCTACAGCAGTGTTTCCTAGCTGCTGCATATCCCCGGGACAACCCCATCACTTTATTCAGGATGGGTTCCTCTCAGACTCTGCTGTCCTCTTTTACTTTGCAAGCCTCGGTTTAAATAGAGAGTAAAGGGCTTTGGAGAATAACACACCAGCTAACTGCTGCTAAATGACTTTATAACGGGGGATTGGCTTCCTGGCCATCCTTACACTGTCGCCTCCCTTCTTCTGCCCAATATATTTCTGGAGTCCATTGCATTTCTGCAACTTTGGTGCTCACACATATTTCTAAATAAGTTCACACGGCATTTTGAAGTTTAGCAAGCATTTTTACTATTGACCACAACATAGAAAGAGAGGTGTTAAAATAAAATAATGGATATTAGCCATTTATGAACTTGTGAGAAGTCTTGATGTCTGGTGGTAGGATGCACCGCTGGCTTCTCTGGAAATGGATAGAGAGTCAGGTCTACTAATTAAGATTGTTGCTGATTAATTTTTCTACTTTGGCCCTTTCCAACTAGCGCCTCTCTCTTCTGAATACTTGGACTAATTGTCTCAATTTTGGAATTGGGGCTCTTCTATCCCTGTTGTCTCTCAGAGCTCTAAACTAACAGATGGTGGGTGGAGAAGTTAGACAATGAAGGAAGAAGTTCTGAGTGTGACATAAGACGCATTTGCAATCTGGAATATCAGCCTGTATTTCAGTGTCATCTTGGACTTCAGCCTCCTGCAGAACTCTGAAGCAATGGTAGAAGGGTCTCTTGATGTCCTCTCCACATCCAGGGTGTAAGCAGCTGGGGGAGGCTGGGTTGGTTCTCTCTCTCTCTTTCTCTCTCTGTCTCCCTCCCTCTCTCCTTTTCTTTTCTTTCTCTGGACTTCAGCTCTGCTATAGAACACTTAGAAATGGAATTCCTAAAAGGTACCACATCCATGGTAATTTCCATTGCAAGAGTAAGAGGTGTTTGGAGGAGATTTAATGTCAGCAATAGCACAAATCTCTCCCATAGCACCCGTGAGTAGAACTAGTTGATGATAGACAGAATTTATGACCTAGGAGACCATTTATTTCTAATAAAATTAGAAAACTCAGGCACTGCTTTGGGATTTTGGAAAACTTTACTCTTCAGTTCCCAATGTTGAAATGTGTGAAATATGGAAAGAATCAGTTCACAATGAGACAGTGAATTAATCTGCACCCTTGACTCCAGCCAGGAGAAAGATTACTGAAAACAGAGAAGTCACCTTGGGGAGCATGTAAACTCAGCGTCTTGTTCTAGAATATTCAGACGCCCTCCTGGATATATAAACAACTCACTTGTTTTTTTTTAATGTCATCATTTTAGTCTGATATGGTGATTTATAATAACGACTGGTATTATTAACTGAGGCTTTCTTTATCACTCTGCAGGGGACTACAGCTCAGTGCCACTTTAGTTTTCTATAATCTTACTGTTTTCTTGGGTGACATAATTCCTCTTTCACAGATGAGAAGACAGGGAAGTTAGATTACCAGCTCAAGGTCACGCAGGCTGTAGGTCAAGAGCCAGGGCTCAGAACCTGGAGCTTCACAGTTGGAACTCTTTCCACAATACTACGAAATCTGCCCAGGAATTGTTATCAGAACAATGCTTTTTCTGGGTGGTGTATTTAAAAAAGAATCTCGGAAAATACAGCACATCCAAACAAAGGTGAAAAAGATGGTGGCCATTTGGTAGTCAAAAGGCAAGAGAAGCAAAGGTGAAATTACTGAAGTCAATTAAGTCAAGGAAAGAGCTGCTTGAGAGGAACCAGGTGGCTTTCTTGGAATACCTGGAAAGCTGTCGTGCATAGGGAGAAGAGTGTGAGGGCAAAGGGTCTCTGGTGATAGTTGAGGAAGGCAACTTTGACCTTAAGGAAGTCAAAGCATTCTCCTTGCCCAGCACTGGAAAGAGGAGGGAACCAATCACTGGTGGGGACAGATGACTGCTTCCAGGAGTCCTGAAGACTAGATGGCTAACCAAGTGGGAGGTTGGACTACAGGGGTTCTGATGTGTGTCAGCTCTTGGATTACATACATGCCAATCCACAGTACCTTAACATGAGTGAGTTCACCAGCTTCTTTTATTTACAACAGGAGAAGACTAAGTAATGTGGAAATGTTGGGCCTGGAGATGAAAAGGAAGTCTAAAAGGCTTCCTCTCTGCTTAACAACTTCACTTAGGAATGGCCCAAGATTTATGCTTTCCATCAAAGAGCAACAGGAGAGTTCCAGTCATTGATTTTCTCAGAAGTTCTGTTTCTGAATTTGGAGAAAAATAAATGTATATCAATTTTCATAGAGCTAATGTTATTTTTAATGGATGTGAGAGTTCTGATCAGATGTTTAGCGGATGATAAAGAACCAGGTGTGAGGTTCTCCAGGATGGTGATGTCTGTGACTGAGCTGTGACTGGGTATCAGAAAGGCCCCCAAATTTGGGTGATTCACTGCAGGAAGAATGATTTCCTCCACAAACTCTGAATGGCACCAAAGTGTGTATGAATCACCAGTGTTAGTATATTAATATACTGCATTTGAATATATGTTAGAAAAGTACATAATGACTTTTTAAAATGGATGTTATGCTCATAACATTTTTTAAAGCCAGGAAGACTGACATCCTGTAGACTCTTAGGCAAGTCTTGATGAGGAGATGGGTTTAATTAAATTGTGGGGGCCGTATACTATTAGTATGATTTTATTAGATTAGAAAATTTTGCATGGTCTTCCTCTGAAAACCAGAGATCCTGATGATTCATGCCATTGATTCCTAAATTTGATACTTTCAGTTAGAGTGACTTCATCTGTCATCGCTGGGTACATGTGTGTTTTAGTCAGGGTTTGCAAGAGAATAGACTTAATACAGGGCACACAATTGACAGGATTATTTTATAATACTCACCCAAAAAGTCAAATGCAGAAGAGTGCGAGAGGTCTGTCAGCACACTGGAGACCTGAAGAATCCCGCTAAAGGCCTGGTTCCCACAGTGATATTCCTCAGGAGTCCAACCAGAGGCCTAAAGCCCACGGCAGCTTCTCATGCTTGTCCATATTGAGGGTCTGCATAGGGAAGGCCCAGAGGGCAATGGAGGAAGCTGGAAAGTCAGGGCCAGCAGGCCGAGGGAGCTGAACTGGAGCCAGGAAGCGATGCTCAAGGTGAAGACTAGAGCTCCTCGGAAGAGAACAGCAGCCTTTCCTTGACAGGGAGGACCCGAGCTCCTCTTCCAATGAGAACAGCCGAGTTTGCATCAGGAAAACCAGCCTCGACAAAGCCTCTCCTGGGAAATCAGCAGCGTGCAGTCTTCCCCTGTTCTCCTTTTGTGCCGTTGGCAGCGATCCTAAGGTGGGTCTTCCACACCCGGAGCCTCCCTGACTCAGTTCAGCTGGGCGTTCCCACGTGCACTGACCTTTAGTCCACACAGCGTGACACTGCGACCCTCCCCAGCGCACCTCTCTGGAGACCCCACTGCCTTCAGCCTGCTCTGCTTTCCAGTGGAGTAAAGGAATGGCTCACTCTTGTTCCGGAGTGCCAGTAATGCAGCGTCCTTTTAGGGACGGCCCTGAGCCCCAGGGCCTCCTGTCCATCAGAGCAGGAAGGCTACTGCTGGCCCAGGCACAGGCCAGGTCCCCCGCGAGGTGGCTGCAAGATGGCGCCCCCACTTAGCTTCTCTGTTGGTTCTGAGCCACCAGTGCAGACCCTGCATTTTGTTCCAGCGCCTGCGCTGCCTTTCCCTGCTAATGGATCCCTGTGGGGTCACCGCTGTCCATATTATCGACTCACGCGAACTCCAGGATCAGGGTGGGTGTGGGTGGCCCTGGGTACCTCTCCCCACGTGGTTCATTTCACCACTAATTGATGTACAGTTACTATAAGTTCAGTTTGTCTTATACTTATGCAATACACAAAGTATATGCAAATGTGATATTAGTATGCATATATTCATATAAATGACAGCCATTCAAGTACTCTTTTCAGACGTAAAAAGATATTGTTAAAAGTGACTATATATACACAAAGAATAGAAGATACTGACATAGATTTACGTAGCTTCTTCCAAAGCCATTTCTCCTCATTTTAGCACCAGAACTATTATGCATCCATTGTACCAATAATAATTAAGCATTCGCTGAGCATATCCTATATGTTAAGCCCTTTTAAATGTATGTTTTATTATTTATTTATGTTTTTGCAGTGCTGGGGATCAAAGTCAGAGCCTCACACATTTGGCAAGTGCTCTGCCACTGAGCTAAATGCCAGCCTCTGTTTCAAACAAAGCTCTAGAATGATTTGATTGGCACAGTGCTGTCCTCACTGTACAGACAGGAAAGCAAGCTGCAGACTTTAGAAGGCACAGGCAGCATGGACTTCAAGGACCAAAGCAAGGTCTTTGACTACAGTCTGTGCTCTTACTCACCGTGGACAGTGGACATCCACACGTTGGCCCGGTCACCTCATTGGTGAGCTTCTAGGGTCTCACTCTTCTGAGATAACTGTGTTTTCTTCAAAGGGCACAGGATGATGCTGCTCCAAAGCGCTCTGCAGGTTTAATGCCTAAAGGCCAGCCTGGTCTCTCTCCAGAGATCCTGGTTTTCTTGTACATCTGCTGTCCAGGAGCCGGGAGGACATTGCTACCTGTTTCTTTGCATTCGCACCCTTTCTGCCCCTCCTTCTAGAGAATTGTGAGAGCTCAGCTTTTTCTTTGCCCTCACTTTTGACACTTTTGGGCAGCACGTACCTGGCCAAAGCTTTAAAACCTTTTCCTATAATGCAGTGATCCTCTCAACCTGCAAATCCTTCCCTAGCTCCAGAGATGATTCCTCCTGGACAGTTTTGGTCTTCTTTCCCTGCTCGTGTCTTGGGACTCTGGGATGGTCCTCGCATCTCTGGTCTTGCTCTTGTATGGCTGCTTTTCTGTCTCATGACTTTCATCTCCTCATCACTGTCCTCTTCATCCTGGGACAGATCAAGTCTGTTTGTCTCCGTGTCACTGATTATATTTTCTGCAGTGTGACTTTAGTGGGGTGCTTTTGCCTCCACGAATCTTTATCTGTTATTAGTTTCCTTACAGTTTTCTCATTCACCTTTCTTTTCTTTCCATCCTACTCTTGCCTCCTTTACTCTCCCCATTATGTGTTCCATCTTGTCTCTGCAGGCCCAGTCCTCATGCACCTGCCCAGTGCATTAAACACTTTCCTGAAATCTTTTGTGCCGTCTTTGTCTAATAGCTCTTTATTTGAATTTGAACCATGACAGCCTTTCCCTATATTTTCTATATTTCTATATTTTCTATGTTTTTCAGGGGTCTCGGATTTATTTTTTAACTCTTTATTCATTGTATTAGTTATCTACTGCTACAATAGTGCTGTGTAACAAATAATATCAATATATCAATGGCAAATATCAATGCGTATTCTTTTGGTCCCCACTATAAATTTTTTTTGGAAAATACCCTTTTAAGAGGAATATAAGGAGAATGCTTGAAGGCACTGGTAGTTTGTGTAGAAAGAGTAGTGGTGGCAGTGATGGTTGTTGAGTGTGGGGGAAGTACTTGAGTCACTTTTTAAAACTTCCTGCATCGCTGAGGTAAAGAGCTGTGAACTTTCAATATTTGAGGAGCTCAGCATGAGGCAAAAGGGGAGGCTATATACCATATGTCTACATTTTTGAAAGTTATGAGGCACACTTAGTGTTAAATAAAAGATGTTTTAGTGTCTCTTCTTGACAAATAGATCTTTAGAATGTTGAAGTTGAACAATATACTTAAAATTGTAGCTTTTTCACATTGATGAGATAAAACCAAAGTTCATGACTCTTGCATGTCTGGGTGCTCTGGTGAGATGCCAGTGATGTTTGACAAGTATAAAGGAGACACACAAGCCTCATGAATTCGTTATGTAGCAATAATTTTTTCTTGACTTAAATCAATCAAAATTATGAATTGTTTTTATAACACAGACGTTTATGAAATTTTTCTATTGAGAATATAAATAGCTAAGAATCTAATGGCACAATATGAATACATTTTGTTTAAAATATAAAGACTACAAAATGGAAAATTTCAGTTATTTAGATCTTTAAGTTACTTCTAATGATTCAAACTTACATCACTGAATGTAACAAAAAGTATTAAGTAATGAAAATAAAAATTTTAAATCAAACTACTTAAATCAATTTAAAATTATAAAATTTGATCTTTTGAAAATGTAAATTTAATTGTTTACAAATGGAGCACTACACACACATGCATTCAGGAGTAATTTAAATCGTTTCTCATTACATATTTCTTGGCTACCATGTGCACATGTACAGGATAAGCAATGAGTAGGAAAGAGGACACCTGTCTCCTTCCATCAGAAGCCAGCGCTTCACAATATAGGAATGCACTGTCCTCATGTGCCTTTGTGGAGAAGCAGCTCACACCTTACTGACTGGCTTTCATCTTCCTAAGGGCCTCTGCTCCCTCCTGCCTCCTTGCACCTCCAGACACTGCCCAACTTGGCTGTGACCAGAGGGGTGTCCTGCAAGTCAACATGGTGGCCAAGTTTCAAGAACAGGCCAAGAGCTGTGGACCAGGAAGTCTGGAGGAGAGGAAAGGGTCCTGGAATGGTGTAATTCATGGGGAAAATCTCATAAAGAGCCACCCATATATGTTGTTTTCTAAAATAGTTTGGTCTGTGGATTTAAGAAGTGTAGAACCCAGGACAGGAGTCTATCTTTCAACCTACTTTCCTGGTTGGTAGAGAAACTGGGTCTCTCGATCAGGGAGAAGACGGGAGAGGTAGGATGGAACTTATTACCCTTCTGTGCTATCATAATGGTGGCCATGGCAGATGATTATATAGCTATAGAAGAAGAAGAATTTTGAAAGAAAGGTGATGATTACATATTGAATATTTGTCACTTTTTACAATATAGAAGTAGAGATTCTTTAAAGATGCCGTGTTACTATTTTTCATCAGAAATAATAAAACTGACTTGTGATATCTCCAGCACAGATTGATGTACATACAGTATGATGTCTTCCATGCTCTGTTGTAAGGCAGAGTCTCAAGAGCCTGATGCTTCAACTGTCTCCCGATTAAATTGCTTTCCTATTGCCAGTCACTAATCTTCAGCTATTGCTTTAACCATGAAAAGTAGCAGAAAAATTACAGTATGGGTATACTGAATAACGTTAGAGACCCAAAGTAGCTAGCTTGCCAAACTAGTTGTACACACACAGGAGCTGGAGAGTACCGGAAGCATTTTTCTAGGTAGAGGACAGCGGTTAATGTGAAATGATCACGTGGCAAATGG